TTTGTTCTCAAAACTATAAAATTGAAAGGTTGTAAAACCTTTTGAATTCATCAGGCGAATACTGTAAATCGACTTCGGTTGAATAAATACGATCTAGGAAGGTAACACATGGGCAAGAAATGGAAAGAGATTTCCGAAGTGTGCGATAAGAGTACACCCTAAATCAGAACTATCACTTTGAGCTACACTAACCACTAGATACTGGCTAAATCTCAAGAAAAATGATTTCAGTTTCGTCAATTTTTTTGGAGGTTTGGTAGATTTGGACAGATTCGTCACCTCACATTTGCCTTTCTTTAGCAATGCATCTCAACGAAAGCTTCGTTAAACCTGTACACACTTAAGGGACCCTAGTGTTTTGTTAATGAAATGCTTTAAATTCAAACACTCTTACTTTTAAATCAACTTCCTAGCTTCGCAGAACTTTCTTAAAGTTTTAGCTGAGGTTTATTTAAGTGTTCTCAGTCCTTGTCTTAGGCACACGATTAACTTAGCTTCTTTCTATAATATGCATAAATTAAGTAAACAGACAATTAAATGAATTTCTTTTCATTTGCTATAATTCCTCCACCTTTTTCCATTACACTTCGCTTTTTAAGACTTTGGCACTGGCCTTTGATACTTTTACCACCGTTCAAAGGCAATGACCAAACCCGAAAGAAACTTATGCGGCCTACACTCTAATTAGAAGAAGAAAGTGGCTGGATGGTATTGAACTGTAAATTTTAACGTACTTCGCTGTAAACATACTGTTGGTTTTGGATTCACAGTAGGGAGCGAATCACCGTTCCTTCTTCATTGCTGTAGAATTACGGTAAAAACTTTGCGCCATTTTCCCCTAAAGAAGAACCAAAAAAGCCAAAACCTAGGTGTTGAAGCCACTTCTAAAACATGCTACCTAAACCTTCTCGAAAAATTCCATGATAACAGAGTTATTAAGAATCAAACAGTATGCGCACCTTTTTGAGATACCCTGTATAGAATTATGTATTCAGAAATCATTACTATACTTTGTTTATCAGCACGTTTTAGGTTTCACATGCTGCAATAAACAACTCGAAGCTGCTATGAAAGGAGCAATGGGTGGAAAGGTGAGATTGGACCAAACTTACTACAAAATTCGTCTCGAGATCATCCACATGCTTATTTTTAAAATTGCATAATGTATACTAATGTTATGAATGCAAGCAATAGGTAGACAAAAATGTAGAACAATGTAAAATTAAGGATAATGTTGCCAACAAACTTGACTTCTTTGTATACTTACGTTAAAGGGATACAAGATGAAAGCCTTAGCGTAACAAAACTCTATATTCTAAGATGTACTACATTCAAATTGGGAAGGAGTTTTTGAGATAACAACTTGGCACCAATCTCTTGCTTGAGGACTTTTTCGCTCTAAAATAGCTCTCTGGCCAATACTTTTGACAATTCTCTTTGTTTCGCTTTGCTGAAAAGAATCTTGAATGCTTCTTTTCCACTCCTTGGTCTTAATCCACCGTAAGTGCACAGTCGCGGAACGATTTCAACACGATAAGCCGCAAAGACTAGTTCAGCTAAATTAATACATACTAGCGACCTATAAACCCCAAAGGTTTCCTTGGAAGATTACGTCACGATTTGTCTGCAAAATTACCCAGAATCTTTTTAGGATCTCCTCTCCGCAGCTGACGAAATCCAGAAAATGGCCGAAACAACATTAGGAGGAAAATTCGAAACTGTCGTTGCATTGGATGATTTCGCTTACAAATCTCATTTCAAGGTAAGTTTCCATTGTAATAAATATTTGTGCGCTTCACCTCAGTCACTGTGGTTCTAATTCTCTTTTTTTTCTGCAAGCGCCGAAGTTCGTAAATCAAAATTTTCCCTACTCGCTCATTTAAAGATCGAAAAAAACT